TTTCTTAAACAACGCACACAAAAAGATTTCAATAGGAAAAAATATATCATACAAGTGTTTGTACCAATTTCTTTTAAATTCTTACGAGTTTTTTACCTAATATAAAAAAAATAATGATAAATAAGATAAAAATTTGAAACTAATAATATAGTATAAATCACGTATTTAAAATATTAAAAGATGAACCTTATATGTTTAACAATTAACTTCTTTTTTTTTTTTTTGAGATTTATGATATTGTATGTATTAATTAATTTAATGTAGTAATTTATGTCATATTATTGATTCTAAATTTTCGTTATTGCTATCATTACTTTATAAAAAAATAATGAAAAACATAGCAATCTCAACCATTAAGCAATCTCTGAAAATATGGAGTTTGACAATTAACCGAACAGACCACTTGAGAAAATTGACTTGTTATACCGCATTTTTTAGGTCTATTGGAAAATATTTTCATATTTAATATCATAAACAACAAATAAACACCAGACCACTTATAAATCTATTGACTAGAGCGAAGCCTCCATTAAAGACCTAAAGTGGATAAAAATCCTTACTAAAAATTGAAAAGAAATTGAAGAACAGCTACATAACTTCTAAAACCACAAAGCATACTTAAGAAAATCCTGAGAAGCCCGTCGCTCAAGAAAAGAGATAAAAGATAGGCTAGGTCTCTTTTTGGAGATGGCAAGATCAGTGTTTTAAGTGTTAAAATAAGAAAAATTACCTTTTTAATGTATAAGGTTGACGTACGTAGGGATGTGGTTTTAAGTAAAAATTGATTAAAAAAATTAGTCTCATGATGCATAAACTAAACATTGGGGACATATTGTTCATAAAAATAATTGATAAATCATTTTTATATAGTTTTTTAAAATAAACTCATATATCATCTAATGATGGACACATTTTACTTTATTAAAATTTGTGGAATATTATATATCTCTATTTATTGAATGACATATGCATATTGTAAATAAAAATTGTATAAACCAACGATCTGTTGATTCGAGTGGAAGGAATTCGGTTTCTTTTAAATAAGGTCTCGAGTTCAAATTTGGTGAATGTAGAAATAAGTGTTGAGAGAATTCCTCCTAATGGGGTCCAACGCAGCTTGATTCCGGATTCGTAGGGACTCAATATGATTACTGAATACCAGAAGGTTAATACAAAAAAAAATTATATAAAAGAGTTGAATGCATATTATTACTTTAAAAAAAATACTAACATATTATAGTTGCATTATTTTCCACGTATGACAAATTGACAATCACATTAGTCACGCATCAACCAGCGGAATCTTCATTCTATGCAAAGGAATAAGAAGAAAAACACAAGAAAAATGTACAAATAAAGAAAAAAAAGTTAGGTGATACCTGTGTCACAACTTCCACACCTAGCTACCCTTTCGTAATCTTAGTGGAACAATTGTATTGGAATATCATTAAATGGTTAAACACCCGTAAACACTCTAGGTTGACAATTTTGAGCTTAAAAATGCTACCAGACCTAAATCATCCCTCCGATTTCTTTGTTTAGAGCTACAATTTTCTAAATATACCGTGCAACCATGGTAGTTGAAGGTTCTGCAGCTGACCCTTCATCTTATGCGTGAATTGTCAAGGTCATTTATGTTTTTGAGGTCATTTGATTTAGAAGTCAAAATATTCATCCATTTTTCCATGAAGGTTGGCCACTAGGATTGGAATCCAACAACTGAAGTCTTTCCCCGTCGTCCCAATTGGATTTAACTTTCTTTGTATTTGTTGGAAATTCTATGGAGACACTCAAGACAGAGAATCAAGATAAAATCAAAATTTGAATCACATATCAATTTATTTAATTAGAATATCTAAATCTCATTTTTTTCTTCCTATTATTATTTTCCATATTTTGTCTTCTATATAAATATGAGGTCATATGTAATTAATTATTTTACAAGTCAAGCAATACAATCTATAACTCTTAGAGCTTTTGTGTATGGATATAAGTCATGTAAGTCAAACCACGTTAAATTGTTTGTTCTTCATTCTTGACTTCACACCTTTAATTTTATATTTTTATTTAAAACTTATTATGATATCAAAGTAGATATGATTCAAATCCTTTAAGTGAGTTTCAATTTCTCTCATTTTGTTTAAACCCTCTATTCATCAACACTAGGGGATTTTTTTTTTTTTTCCAACAAGTCTTGCTGCCTGAATTTCTAGCCAAGATGTCAACTTCATATTTTTAGTTTTGATGAGAAGTTCTTTAATTGTAGCGAGTTCAAATTTCTCGCATTTTGTTTAACTTTTCAATCATCAATTTCAAAGGAATTCATCATCACAAGTTTGGAGGACAAGATACAAGCTACTACAAGTCTCTACAAATTTAATACCTATTAACCAATTATCATGATTCAAGTTGGACGCTATATCATAATTTGGTGATCCAACTTGAGATGAATATTGGAAAGTATAACTTTCCTTGTATTTGTCGGAGATTATATGGAGACAATAAAAAAAATTTTTTTTGACGAATCAAGACAATCAAAATCTGAATCTAATATCAATATATGTAATTTTTTTTCCTTAAATCTCTGATTTTCTCTCTATTTTTATTTTCCATATTTTTTGTCCTTCTACGCCCACTATAAAACTTAAAGGGAAATGCTTTAGGGATAACCTTTTTGTGCTACATTTTTTATAATTTTATATGTCATTTAAATAATTAACTTTTTTTATTCATTTGTGACACATGATATTGAATGTATCAATTCATTTAATAACATGTAAAAATTGTATAAAAATATGATATTAAAAAGTTGTTCTTATATCACCTCCCAAAGTGAAATTATACATAATCATTTTATAAATCAAGCAATATAATCTATAGCCTTTAAGGCTTTTATGTGTACACATAGATCATCACCTATAGTAGTCAATTGAACCTTGCTTCTTCTTTGTCATTGACTTTATACCTTTAATTTTATATTTTTATTTAAAATTTATCAGTCCCAACAGAGAAGTCTCCCTCCATTCTTTTTCCCTTAATAATATTATTATAATAACATAATTATCTGATTATATTATAAAAATTATTAAAATAATCAATAAATCGCAAATAATAGTTAATAAACTTTTTAAAATCTTTAATAAATTCCTTTAAAATACTCATAAATTTTCAAAAAAATACTCAATAAATCTCTTTTAGGAGTTTAAAACCCACCTAAAATTTAAAAATCTAATCTTCTAATTCAAATAATATATTACATTATTACTCGACTTCATCTTTATTTAAAAAAACTAGTTTTTTCAACCTACGCCTTGCATTGCTTTTTTAATATATTTTGTGATTATTTTTAAGTTGAATAAATTAATAAATTTAAAGTTTTGTAGTATAATTTATAATATATATTAGGATCTAGGAGAAGGACAAAAAATTCAATAGGCAAACCAACATGTTTAGACATCTTTAAAAAAATCAAAACCAATGTCCTTTTTCCCTTAAAAAATAAGGAATTACTCCTCTTCTCCCAAATTTATCCTGCTTCTCATCTCTTGGATGCTGAGTACCTTATGTCTTATGTCTCCTTGGAAGAAGTTTGAGAAAATAGATAGATATAAACTAATCAACTTCAAAATTAAAACAAATCTTTAAGTTCAATGTTTCTTTTCAAAAAAATTTATGTCAAGAAACCCATAACAGTATATTATAATTCAAAATATAAAAATTTATAAAAAATTAATATAGTTATCAATCGTTTAGTTGTGTTAGACCCTTTATAACTAGACATATTTTAGAATACATTTTTTTAGGTGTACTTTTTTTTTTACTAACCCCTCAATATTTAAAAACTATATTAAATTTTGATTAATTTAAAATTGAACTAAGTTGGACCTATAAGAAAAAAAAAAATTTCAATACTTATTTCTTCATTCAGTTCTTTTGATATAATTTATAGTTTTGAACTCATATCTAGTTCCTTTACCCTCTAATATTTATTACTTGTCAATGTGCATTAGTTTTTTCTCTTTTTCTAAATTTTTAAAATAAATGTTGTAATAATATAATGATTGTCATTTGTATCATATTACCTTTTGATTTTCAACTACAAATCATAATATAATAATTACAAACGCGATTATATTTTTCATTAAGGTATTTTTCTACATCTTGACATTTTACCTTTCATACTCATTTGTACTTTTATTTTTTAGTTGGGTAATAATAGTAATTTAAGCTTTTAATTCACTTAAATTTTTTTGCATACCACGACATGCATTGATAAAGAGAGCACCATACTCAAATTGATGGTAAAGTGTTTTATTTTTTTTCTTCATCATTACTTTTGAAATTAATCTTGAAATAATACAATAATAATCATTCTATGTTATAATATATTATTAATTATGTACGTTTTAATCTTCTGTTATAAACTATGATACACTAATTGTCAGCCAAAAAACACTATAATATAATAATTTTGATTGAAGTTACATTTTTTATTACTTAATTGAATTGTAATTAAATTTTTGTTTATTAAGGACCTTTTGCTTTCCATGCTCTTCTACATCTATCTTCCTTTAATTCCTTTGAATTTTACATATGCCCTAATTATCTCATCTCATGCATGAATATAGAGTGCACTACATCAATCATATTTTTTTTGTCCAGTTCTCCATATTAAATTATTAAATTATAAAAT